AGCAAGTTCAAGGACGGCAGTGAGGAGAAGAGCGGCTGCATCTTCTGCTCCACCGATTTCTCCCACTTGGTTGAGAAGCATCGGGCGGTGGCATCAAGACCAGTTCGCAGTGGCGGTGGATCCCGTGGCGGCAAGGCTGGTCGTGGCGGTGGAGGCGTGGGCGGGCCGGCTGGTGGTGCCGGAGGAGCGGTTACGGCTGGAGGTGGACCTGGTGCAGGGGGCGGAGGGCGTGGCGGGCGCGGCGGTCGGCCGCCCAAGGATAAAATGGCCCAGCTGGCGGCGTATTTCGTATGAGGACACTGAATTGCATTTAGAAGAACAATAACTAAACAAGAAACAATACAGCCCAATAAAATCGAAATTGTATAAAGAAAAGTGCATTTGTTTTTGTCAAGGGGCTTTAATTGATGTGCAGTTTTGAATTTTTTATTAAGAATTTCTAATAATTTAGGAAATAAATAAATCTTAAGTTATGTTAAAATACAATTATTTGAATTCCACAATTTGCTTATATTAATATCCTTATATGCATTTATTTATTTATATAAAGCAAACTTAATGAAATCTCTATTTTATAGTAATAATCCAAATAAATCTTCAATTTTAAGAAGTTGGCTTTGAAAAAATAAATATATTGGAAATATGTGCATATATAGGAGCAAATGGTTAATAAATAAACACTGAGTAAATACATTTAAATTTATTTTTCACTCGTCGGATATTTGATAAATTAGGAAACAAAGGAACCCCCATTTATTTTCGTGAGTAAGGGGTTTTTATGTTAGATTCAAGGGTTGTTTTAATGAAAATATCCCATAAATTACTTTTCATGACGTTGCCCAATGTATGTATATTTATCATATCTATGCATGGGGTACATGTGTATGTACATATGTATGTAGATATACTGGGTTGTTAGTTTGATGAATTTATTTAAATTATTTGTATCTGCATAATTATTGATGTATCATAGTATAAATTAAACTGAAGCTTGTACTTGAAAAATAATACCGTTAACTATTCTAAAGGGTCACATCAAGGGTTAAGTTGCTGGCATCAGCATACATCAGATTTCATCAGCCTAGTCCATTCCAGGAAGTTTCCAGATGCAGTTAGTCACAAGTATGTACATATGTATGTATGTAGATGTGCCCGCACACTGGTTCATGTGCGGGTGTGGGAGTGGAGAAATTGGAAATTGTGTGCGCGTGTGTGGGGGGCTCTCTTGTCTAAAGGCTGTTGACCAAAGCGAAGACAAATCTCCCAGGCGGCGTCAAAACAAAATAAAGGTCGTTTAACTCGCCAAACAAAGAACGTCACAAGACGTCCGTGTATGTACATACAAATTTTCACACTTTCATCTGTTAGAATACATACACACACACGCACTTATGTACATGGAACAGCTGCGATTAGTGTTGGAAAGAGGGACAGGGAATTTATCGATAACTGTACTCTCTCGCCCATGAGAGCGAGCGAGATAAAAGCATTGCACCTATGCACTACGCATTTTATTTTCAATGCCTAATTATGCACATTGCAGCTAGCCAATTGATTGGCCTTCATGTGTTAAATACTCTTGACAATGCAAAATCTCATTCTCAATTGGTTTGACAAAAGAAATGGCCACATTAAGAGGCACACAATGTCAAACAAAGTAAGAGCTGCCCGAGAGTGAGCGAGAGAGCAGGCGGCGACTTTCCAGCCAGCTTGCCTATAAATACCAGTGTGCAGCTGTGAAACGGAACATAAGCTGTGAAAAAATAGTAGAGAGCGGACGTGCGAGCAAGTGAAATAAGCAAGTTTTTGAATATTAATAAGTACTATTTCAAAAAGTGCAGACCAAAAGTAAAGAAACAAATTCAGTTTTCTGTGCGAATTAAGAAAATACGGTGAGTTGAGTTTGTGAAGTGCTTCATAGTTTTTCTAAGTTGCATTCAAAATGGCGACGCAGCAAGTGCAGCAAAAGAAAAACGGTGCTTTCCATGCAAATAAGTGTGACTGTGTGTGTGTGTATGCGCAGTTCCAGGGGCTTTTTTTTTTTCTTCAAACGAAGTTAGAGATTAGTCAGCAAAACTAAATACCGTTTTATGGCGAAATAATGCAAGCTGTGAAAACATTAAGGGGTAAAACTATAAGTTTTCTGTGTGTGTGTATGCATAAATACTTTTCTGGGTCACGGGAACTGGGTCACTACGCAGAATAGCAATTGCGCACTTTCCTTCCACTTTCCATTACTAACGCCAACTTTTTCCTCGCTCATTTTTCCACTCGCAGCCAATATGCAAATTTTCGTAAAGACTCTGACTGGCAAGACCATCACCTTGGAGGTTGAGCCATCCGATACCATCGAGAACGTCAAGGCCAAGATCCAGGACAAGGAGGGAATCCCCCCAGATCAGCAGCGTTTGATCTTCGCCGGAAAGCAGCTGGAGGACGGACGCACCCTGTCCGACTACAACATCCAGAAGGAGTCCACCCTTCACTTGGTCCTGCGTCTGCGTGGTGGTATGCAGATCTTTGTGAAGACCCTCACTGGCAAGACCATCACCTTGGAGGTTGAGCCATCCGATACCATCGAGAACGTCAAGGCCAAGATCCAGGACAAGGAGGGAATCCCCCCAGATCAGCAGCGTTTGATCTTCGCCGGAAAGCAGCTGGAGGACGGACGCACCCTGTCCGACTACAACATCCAGAAGGAGTCCACCCTTCACTTGGTCCTGCGTCTGCGTGGTGGCATGCAGATCTTTGTGAAGACCCTCACTGGCAAGACCATCACCTTGGAGGTTGAGCCATCCGATACCATCGAGAACGTCAAGGCCAAGATCCAGGACAAGGAGGGAATCCCCCCAGATCAGCAGCGTTTGATCTTCGCCGGAAAGCAGCTGGAGGACGGACGCACCCTGTCCGACTACAACATCCAGAAGGAGTCCACCCTTCACTTGGTCCTGCGTCTGCGTGGTGGTATGCAGATCTTTGTGAAGACCCTCACTGGCAAGACCATCACCTTGGAGGTTGAGCCATCCGATACCATCGAGAACGTCAAGGCCAAGATCCAGGACAAGGAGGGAATCCCCCCAGATCAGCAGCGTTTGATCTTCGCCGGAAAGCAGCTGGAGGACGGACGCACCCTGTCCGACTACAACATCCAGAAGGAGTCCACCCTTCACTTGGTCCTGCGTCTGCGTGGTGGCATGCAGATCTTTGTGAAGACCCTCACTGGCAAGACCATCACCTTGGAGGTTGAGCCATCCGATACCATCGAGAACGTCAAGGCCAAGATCCAGGACAAGGAGGGAATCCCCCCAGATCAGCAGCGTTTGATCTTCGCCGGAAAGCAGCTGGAGGACGGACGCACCCTGTCCGACTACAACATCCAGAAGGAGTCCACCCTTCACTTGGTCCTGCGTCTGCGTGGTGGCATGCAGATCTTTGTGAAGACCCTCACTGGCAAGACCATCACCTTGGAGGTTGAGCCATCCGATACCATCGAGAACGTCAAGGCCAAGATCCAGGACAAGGAGGGAATCCCCCCAGATCAGCAGCGTTTGATCTTCGCCGGAAAGCAGCTGGAGGACGGACGCACCCTGTCCGACTACAACATCCAGAAGGAGTCCACCCTTCACTTGGTCCTGCGTCTGCGTGGTGGTATGCAGATCTTTGTGAAGACCCTCACTGGCAAGACCATCACCTTGGAGGTTGAGCCATCCGATACCATCGAGAACGTCAAGGCCAAGATCCAGGACAAGGAGGGAATCCCCCCAGATCAGCAGCGTTTGATCTTCGCCGGAAAGCAGCTGGAGGACGGACGCACCCTGTCCGACTACAACATCCAGAAGGAGTCCACCCTTCACTTGGTCCTGCGTCTGCGTGGTGGCATGCAGATCTTTGTGAAGACCCTCACTGGCAAGACCATCACCTTGGAGGTTGAGCCATCCGATACCATCGAGAACGTCAAGGCCAAGATCCAGGACAAGGAGGGAATCCCTCCAGATCAGCAGCGTTTGATCTTCGCCGGAAAGCAGCTGGAGGACGGACGCACCCTGTCCGACTACAACATCCAGAAGGAGTCCACCCTTCACTTGGTCCTGCGTCTGCGTGGTGGCATGCAGATCTTTGTGAAGACCCTTACTGGCAAGACCATCACCTTGGAGGTTGAGCCATCCGATACCATCGAGAACGTCAAGGCCAAGATCCAGGACAAGGAGGGAATCCCTCCAGATCAGCAGCGTTTGATCTTCGCCGGAAAGCAGCTGGAGGACGGACGCACCCTGTCCGACTACAACATCCAGAAGGAGTCCACCCTTCACTTGGTCCTGCGTCTGCGTGGTGGCATGCAGATCTTTGTGAAGACCCTCACTGGCAAGACTATCACCTTGGAGGTTGAGCCATCCGATACCATCGAGAACGTCAAGGCCAAGATCCAGGACAAGGAGGGAATCCCCCCAGATCAGCAGCGTTTGATCTTCGCCGGAAAGCAGCTAGAGGACGGTCGCACCCTGTCCGACTACAACATCCAGAAGGAGTCCACCCTTCACTTGGTTCTGCGTCTGCGTGGTGGTGCCATCTAGATTTTTTCACCCTTATTAAAATCTTAGTCTTAGTTTTGCCAAGGCATAACTCAAGAAATTATACTAAATTTTAGTAAATTGGTTTGATCAAAAGGCACAAAATAATCACAATATTTATTGGTACTCAAAGAATAAACCTTTTCAATTTGTGTGTTCAATGTAATACGTTTTGTAGTTTTTATCGCCTTTCAAAGGGTTTTAGTTTTTTGGGGAATTCTTGGCAGTCAGCTTAAGTTTTCCTCATGTGAAATTATATGGAAAACTGTGAGAAGGTACAATAAAGAGAGGGTGTCGTTAAATCAATGATATTTATTTGAATATTTTAATAATAATTTGATTTAAATTTGTTATTTTGTACCACAGGTACATTGGAATTAATTGCTTAGGTACATACTTCTAGAGGTATATTTTAGGGTATTTTGTGTGACCAGATGGCTTCAACGAAATGTGAAGGTGGGCACACTAGACAAGTCCGAAAAACCTGTTGGCTTGTGATTTGCAGTGATATTTGTGGAGAAGAGCAGGCAGGCAGCTAAGATGAGCAAGGAAATCCGTTTGGCCACCGTTAACGAGCACAACAAGGCCACGGATCTATGGGTGGTTATCAACAACAAGGTGTACGATGTGACCAAGTTCCGGCTCGAGGCAAGTGGCGATGCAGATTCACGGGTGGACGAATTCATTTAATGCAATCCCATCTTCTCCAGCATCCCGGTGGCGAGGACTCCCTGGTGGATGTGGCCGGTCGCGATGCCACCAAGGACTTCATTGACGTGGGTCACAGCTCGGAGGCGAGGTCAGACAGATTTTAGAACCAATTTTGAGCCAGTGCGCCAGGATTCCTCACGTCTTCCCCACTTGCCTTTTCAGAGAGATGCTGAAGAAGTACTACATCGGTGAACTGGCTGCTGCGGACATCAAGCAGAAAAGCCCAATTAGGTGAGCATCCCGTCCAGCAAGTGCATGCAAACACCAGACAACACCAGACCAAGCCAAAATGCCATATCATCTGTAAATAAAGTAACCCTGGGGATTGCCTTGCTCCGCTCCCACACGGTTTGATCTCATTATCTCACTGGAGTACAAGTATTCCTGATAGGGCATTGCATCCTATACTTCTGTGATCACCCCACTTTCCTAATGCTTTTATTCCGAACGCAACCGGTTTAGCATGAGCTGGGCCTGCGCGTCAATCCATTAGGCATTGTGCAATTAGCCAACTCTTATGTAATCCATTAATTGCCTTGAAGCTCCCAAAGTTTCACGCTTGACATGTCCTGAAAGTCGCCCCTTCACTTTCCCTGTTGAATGAGTAAATAAGATTGGATACCACCACGATTATGGTGTTCCCTAAACTTATAGTTTGCATGTTCGTTGTAAATACTATGTATTTTATAAATATTCGATGTGACTTGCATTCAATGACCTCACTCAAAATAATTGTTTACAATTCAGTTCTACAGGGAAACGTAGCCACTTTTTTGTTTACAAACAGTAAATAAAGCAAGAATACTAATTATTTAATGAATCTATCTCAACTTGCATGTACAATATCGCCTCTAATCCAAGATTTAAGTCCTTCTCAAGCACGAAAATAAGGTTCTACAAAAGCTAGCTGGACTTGTTCTAACTGACCTGTAAATATCCCCATTATATTTAACTAAAGCACGTTAAGCACCCGGAATTATGTATATATATAAATGCAATAATCTGGATCACAAAAAATGCACGCTGTAGTTTGTAGTTTGTCACACTGAATAGCTCCCACCTTGACTTGCGTTTTTATTTTGATTCTTGGTTCCGTGCACCGCCTACTATAGTGCCACGCCCACTGATGCCGCCGAAGCCCCTCCCAAGCAATGCTGCATCCTAAATTAACCCCTGTAGAAATGCCCGTAAAGCCGTAATCCTAGCTAGCTAACCAAAGTGCTCCCAGTTTGTTGTGGTTGTTGTGGCGACTTGTTCTCCTGACCAGCTCCCCCCGCCAATGATTTACACTTGTTTCCATATATTTCTCTATTCCATACTACAGCTGCCGCCAAGTGGCATTGGCCCTGGGTGCCGCCTTTATCGGCATCACGCTGGTCTATGTGATACGACGCGGAGTGGCCAGGAATTAATCTGCGAAGAGGCGACCTCACAACTGATCAGCTGCATTCCGTGATTCCATAGTGATTCATAGATATTCCTCCAACATGGAAAATCATTTTCCACACATTTGATACGCAATATATTGTACAAATACACAGCTCTGACGTTTTTTTAATGACCGGCGGCTGTTCTGCAAATTGAAAACACATGAAAACAACATAGAATGCTATAGTCGAGTTCCCCAACTATCAGATACCAGTTATTTAGCTAGTGGAAGTGCAAACGAGTAATTTCAACATTTTCTGGAATATCGGTAGAAATTGGGAAAAAAGTAAGAATATGAAAAAAATCTTACAAATTTTTTAAAAGTGTGGGCGTGAGAGTTTCGTGCGGTTTGTGTGCGTTAGAGTGGGCGTGGCAGCATTTGGAAACAAACTTGCGCTGCGTCTATGTCTCTGGAAGCTTCATGATTAGTCTCAACACTCTAACTTTTGTAGTTCCTAAGATCGGCCAGTTCGACTCGGCTATTGATCCTGATCAGGAATATATATTATATATTTTATATGGTCGGAAAAGTTTCCTTCTGCCTGTTACATACTTTTCAACGAATACTTTTCTTTTACTCTACGGGTAAAATTACAAAAATAAATTAAGAAAAATTTCTAAATTGGAATTAACATTATTTTAGAGTATTGCGCCAAAAACAAACAAGATATGCCACTTCAAAAGCCGATTAAGATAAGTTCAGTTATGGAGTTTAGAACTTCAGCCTTGGGACATTTCTTAACTTTTTTGAATTTTTACAACATCGTAACATCAAAAATTTTACAATAAAATGAATTTCTAAATTTGAATGCAGATTTTTAGAGAATTGCGCCAGAAACATTTAGAGGTATGCCACTTCAAAATCCGAATAAGATAAGTTCAGTTATGGAGTTTAGAACTTTAGCCTAGGGACAAGTGGATAATAATACGAATAAAACCATTGCGGAATACCCAACAGTAGGAAAAGAGCTTGCATATTTCTGGTCAGAAAAACTTGAAATTTATTTTTCGGCCTTCCATCGTCACAAACCTGATTGCTCCCCGCCCCCAGCGTCTCAGCTCCTCCGTCTCCTGCCCAGCCGTTCTCCTCCTCTTCCTCCTCCAGATGATGAATCCACTCCAACGACACATATCTAGATATGTGTGTGTGTGTGAACCGCGAATCAGTTATGGACTTGACTTAAACGTAAATATCGTTGAGGATCAATGCGGAATCGCACTCCAAATTACTAAGATTAGTGCAACTGCTTCTCCGTCAGCTGCGAGTTTATGATTTTATATTATTGTAGACTGTTCTGTTCCGTTCCGTTCGGTTGTTCTGTTCTGTTCTCGTTTTTGTAGTTTAGTGTATAGTGTTTAGGGTATAGTGTTTAGTGTATATGGTGTGTGCATAGTATTTCTTTGCAGTTTGTGGTGGTTTAGGTTTGCGTTCAGTTCGCCCTAGTTCTCGTCGTAGAGGGGCGTGGCATCGCCCAGATTCATGGAGTGCGGCGAGGTGTTGGTGCGCGGAGTGCTGCGCGGCGTGCTGCGCACGGATGCCTTCGAGGACATGGAGGCACCGGCTCCGTGGCCCTGGTTCAAGCCCATTCCCCGATTGTGTCCGCTTCCGCTGCTGTAATCATTGACAGGCGTCGATCCATAGCCGCCGCCACCACCACCACCACCGCCACCTCCTCCTCCTCCGCCGCTGGCATGTCCCATTCCCATTCCAATGCCCATGTTCATGCTCATGCCCATTCCCATCTGCTGTTGCTGCTGCGAGTGATGGTGCTGCTGCTGGGCATGATGCGACTGATGGGACTGGTGCTGCTGCTGCGGCGGTCTGCGTCTTGCCCACGCATCGTTGGCCAGCTGCCAGTCGAGGTTCTCTTTGGCACGTTGCTGGTGATGGGGCGGCATGTTTCCACCGCCCATGTTGTAGGCATTAGAACCACCGCCGCCTCCTCCTCCCATATCGTAGTATCTGGGTGTACTGCCAGTTCCGGAACTGCTGCCGTAGTGGTGCCGCTGACTGCTCGAGGATTGCGAGCTAGGACTTGGCACATTGTGGCCGTAGCGAGGCGTCTGTGAGGCATGCGGTGTGTAGGGCGTCATGAATGGAGTCTGGCCACTGGGCGTGTATGGCGTATTGATGGCACCAAACGACGGCGTCGATGAGCTGCCGTAGTGCGAAGCGGCCATTCCAGCCGCTGGACCAGAATTGTTCGCCCCGCCGTAGCCAACAATGGATTGCGTAATGGAGTAGGCGCTGGAACTGCCACCGCCACCGCCGGCGGAACTGCTGATGCCACTGCGTGGCGTTCCACCAGACACGCTGCCAGTACTGCTGTAGGGCGCCTGGGAGCCCAAGGATGTCAGGGATGATGACGAGATCGCCGGTGGCGGGCGCATCGAGTGCAATGGCGTTGAGTTGGAGGCCGAGGAGGCGCTGGCCGGCGTTGCCGTTGGGTCCAGCCAGTGTTCCTTGAACCAGCGCAGCAAACTGTTGACCGAATCGAAAATCTGGCCACGGAAACGATAGCCTTCCGGCATCACCGTCACATACTCGTGGCGCACCTTCGTCTTGGGTAAATAGGATAGCAGGAACTTGCCCGGCATGGAGCGGGAGGCCGTAAAGAAATAGTGTATCTTCTTCGGATCCTTTGCCTTCTCCTCGCGTAGCACCTTGTCCATAACATCCCGCTCATTTTCATCGCCGGTCACCGTGATTGGCTTGTAGTACTTGTACTGTATCAGTTCGCGGGCAGCCAAGGCCATCGGCGTGATGTGACGGGCGATGATTTCATCCAGATCCTCGAACTCCTCAGTGCCGATCCACAGACTCCTGCCCAGGCTGTAATCGTTCTCCTTACCCTCCTCGCGCACATCGATGTGCTGGAAGATGTCGTCGGACACCTTCCAGGTGGCTGTCAGATGGTCCTTGGACTTGCTGCTCGGACGCAGAGCCACCTCGCCCTGATCGGCCTCCGCCAGCATGGCCACCACCTCCGCGTACGACTTGTTGAAGAAGCTGGGATGGGCGATAACTCGGCGGGCGTAGGTCTTCCGCTTCATGGCCTTCGCCTTGGCATCGCTCGCTTTCCGATTGTCCTGCTCTTCGGTCACAAAATCATAGTAGTTGTCGCGCCGCGGCCGCCACTCATTGTTCACATCCTTTAGATCAGCGGTTTTTGAGGAGCAGTCGACCGAGAATCGGTCAATGTCTATCTTAATGATGCGCACATGAATCATCTGGGAGACGCGCACACGTTCCTCGGGATTGCGAACCTGCTTATCGGACAAGTTCTTGATGTGAATGAAGCCCGGCAACCCATTTTCCAGACGCACACGAACGCCAGATGCCTGGCCAGGACACGCATTCGCGTCAAAGTGATTCCACACCTCGGAAAGCTCTGGGAAGTCGGCCTTGTGGCAAAAAGGGCACTGCCAGCTGTCGCTGGTTTCTAAACGCACCGGATTCGCGTTGTCGAGCTGCTCGCCCTGCGGCCGACGGTAGGTGAACCCGGTTACCATGGCCGTTACACACTTGCCCACGTAAAACGAGTCGGGCGTCTCCTTGGTGAGCATGTCGAAGAGCTCTTCCGCACTGGGCTTGGTGTATGGAGTGCGATAGTCCTTGTACAGGCAGCTCAACTCGTTCCGTATGTCGTACAAGGTAATGCTCTTGCTGCCGAATCCTTGGCGCTCCAGCTCCACAGCGAATGCGTCCAGATCGAGATCCTTGAGGCGCTCTGGCGATTCGAGAATTTCTTCAAGAGCACCGGCCGGATTGGTCTCCTCGTCGTCGTACTCCATGGCATCGATGGCCATCTTTCTGGCCCATTCGTACGTTTCTGGATGCACACGCGACCCATCCAGCACCTCGACATAAGCCTCTGTGCTGTCGCCCAGCGATGAGGTATCGATCTTAATGAAACCGCTGCAGTTGATGAAGACCTTGGGCCCCAGATGACACACGGTGACCAGCTGAGTGCGGTTCTCCAACCGCTGGTTGCTCTGCTTAAGCAGTTTGAGTAGAGCCTGACCCTTACGCGGACCCAAGCCGCAGGTGTACTGCAGCAGGTTGACGGTCCGTGAGTTCTGCACCATCAGGTTGATGTCCAGGCCAACCTCGCTCGTTCGATTGATAAACTGCAGGCTGAGCTGCTCCAGCAGCTGTTCGCGCGGCACACGCTCCTGCAGCGGATGGTAGCGCAGACAGAGAATCTCGTCGTCCGCATCACACAGTTGCGAATACTCCACCAGCGGATCCTGCATCTTGCGGGCCAGCGAAGCAGCCTGCTTCAGCAGGGCAGGATACTCCTTGAAGTCAGATTCGCCCTTCTTCGAATTGGCATAGATTTTGGCCAGCTCGTTGTCAATTATCTCCACCTCGATGGGCGGAAACTGTTCGGAGGTTTCAAGCTCCTGTAGAATCTCCTTGATGTCTGCCTGGATGTTTTGGGCGTCACGCGATTCCGCTCCAATGACAACAATGTGTGGCTTCTTCATTTTGATGAAGTCACTCAGCTTTCGAAGATCGGCCAACTTCTGGGCCTTCTCCTCGGCGTTGTGCGAATTCTTGCGCTTCAGAATGTTCGGCAGTCGCAGGTAGTCGGAGATGTCGCCCTCCACGGTTGTCACCGCACAGAAGGCGGCCACTGACTGATCGGGATCGTAGGCCAGACCCAGCACACGTATGCCCCTCAGCGTGCTCCAGTCCTCGTAGCTGTAGTCGGTGGGCAGTTCCAACTTATAGGGTGCCACCTTTAGCCACTTGTATAGCTTGCCCGTGCAGGAACGAAGCACAAATTGCTGAGCCTCCTCGTGCAGAGTGGAGCGCAGCTCCTTGATCAGATCCGGAATAACCCACTTGTGCAGTGCCAGCTGAACGCACTCCGCCCGCAGCTTATTCCACTCCTGCACATGCTTGGAGAACTGATCCAGGTGGTACAAGGCCTTGGACTCTTCCACATAGTCGCCGGGTGGTCCGTTGGCATTTGCATTGCCCTCGAACTCCTCGAGGAACGTAATCTCCAGCAGCTTCTCCTCCTCGGCCATCATCAACTTTATGAATTGATCGCCAAAGAGATCTCCCACCGGCTTCTTGGCCACGTACTTCATCGAATACACGGGCGAATTCTCATCGATTAGCACCATGCCATTCTTGGTGGGCCGTATATTAAGTCGGGCTCTGTCGAAGTACACCTCGCGCATGGTCTTGCGGAGCAGAGGCTCCTGTGCCAGCTGCCGGGCTACCACATATTTTGCGGCATGGATAACCTCATCCGTGGTCATGAAGCGCGGTGATAGATATTGCTTGGCCAGTTCTGTGGGGCCGAGACTTTCCTGGGTGATCTCATTACGCTGGTAATTGTCGCGCAGGTTTTCGGCAAACTGCTCCGGCGTCAGACCAAAGTGCTTGGCAAAGCCACAGATGCCCGCCTTGCGGAACACCGCATAGGGACTGCTGTTGGGCGCCTGCTTCAGCTGGTCATCGATCAGCTCCGGATCTTCATCGTCCTCCGACCTTGGGACAACTATCGCCGCGTCCTCCGCCGCATCGTCACCGTTCTCGGCGGCGGCCGCTTGGCGACGCGCCTTGGCCTCGCGACGCTCCTGGATCACCTTGCGTCGCTGCTCCGCCTGCATGCGCGGCAGCTCGTGCGAGTAGTTGAGCAGGAAGTACATGTGCACGTCCTTCAGCTCCTCCATGGACTGCACGTCGGCGAGACGCTCGAAATCGCTGTCCAGCATGAGGCGCACATCGTCCGGTATGGGCTTATCAGTATCGGCGCATAGCGTGTCCAGCTGGAACTGACGCATCTTCTCGAAAAGCACCTTTAGCTTGCGCTTTCTCTCGTTTAGCTGACACCAGCGCTCATCATAGTAGTAAACCTTCCACAGATCATCGATGTTCAGCTCTGGCTTCACGTACTCCTTGCGATAGAAGGCTATGAAGGGCACCTCCAACTGCTGGTTGCGTATAAATTCCAGCGTCTGCTTAATCTTGTTTACGGCCGTCGGGGGTTTGCGCAGCTTCTCGCGGTTCTCAGGCTTCTCCTGTTCGGAAACGGTCTGCTTGCAGAACGCATACTTGTAGATCCAATCAGCCTCGAGGTCCAGCTCGTGTGATCCCTCGGGCACTGGGGTTACGGGCACCTGGCGCAGCTGCATGCGTTCTGGGATGTCTGTCTTGCGAATCTCGTTGTCCATGTCGGTGAAATGGCCACGCTTGAGCTCGCTGGGCTCGTATATGTCGAAGATGGTCTTCTTGGCCACCTTCTTTTTAAGCGCCTTCTTCTTGACACGCGTATCATCTCCTTCAGAGTCATCTTCGTATTCGTCCTCCTCGTACTTTGAGAAGTCGTCATAGTCGAAGTCTACGCCAAAGATGTCCTGACCCTCTTGGAGCGATCTGTAGTTTGATTTTATTAATAATATCTCAGGGCGTAACAACTTAATTATACTTGATATACTTACGCATCTGTAAAGATGGGACGCCGCTTCTTCTTCTTCTCGGCTATGGGACGCCCATTATCGTCTACAATGAAGTCATCCGCGTCCGACTCCGAGTCCTCCTCGTCGAAGGCGTCCGCCTCCCTGGGACTGCGCTCGCTGCGATGCTCAATGCTCTGTAGGATTGGGGGAATCAGTTGGACACTGTGCATTGTTGAAGGGGGGAAGGAGGGTCAAGGATTACTAGTGGCATACCTCATCGTTCTCGTCGAACAATTGTTCGGCAATCTGCTCCCGGGCCAGACCCTCGTCCACGTGCTGCTCCTCTCCATCGCTTTCGTTGTCGTGGATGCGACGCAGACGCTTGAACCGCTTCTGCAAGGAAAAACAAGATTAGAAAAGTAATGTTCGAGGAGCATAGATGCCCCCAAATCCCTCAGATTGAAATTGTAGTTTTACAAGTGCAAAGCTAGCACAATGCATTATTCTTCCCTTTAAAGAGCACTTACCCGTCTCTCGACCTTGACGCCCAGATTCTCCTCGATCAGATCGTAGTCATCGTCCTCGAGTCGATCGTCCAGATCGTCGTCCTCGTGCTTTTTGCGCTTCTTACCGCTACCGCCGCCTTCGGTGTCACCACCGCTATCTGAGTCGTCACCGCTGCCATCATCCTCCTCGATGGGATTGTCATCGATCAGATCTTTGAGCTCTTCGCGCAGTCGTTCTTCGTCATCTACGGAATAAGGCATTAAGAATTTTGGTTTAACACGTTCCTTCATTGTAGCCCCAGATTTCTAACTGAAACCTATTGTCAAATGTGACTCGGTTTTGAAAAAGGGCTACCTAAAATATGGCTATCTAGACGGGACTTATATGATTTCGAAATAGTAGAGCCCTGAGCATTGATTATTCCAGGGCAGCTGCATCTATTGATCTAATCCTTCCAACCGAACCTACTGCCTTAAATTGCAATTTCTTGGAAAAAGCCGCACTTCCAATTCGCCGCACTTGTTCCACTTACTGGAACGAGCGCAGCTGTTTGTTGTTGTTGCTTCTGCTGATATTCCATGGCCACGGTAGCACGGTAAAAACACAAGACCTAACCTCAAAGTTGTAAACAAAAGAAGTTGCAACCGGGCTTATTGGCCAGTTATAAATGGCTTTATCCCGGATATAGACTGTTTGGATCAAATGATGGTAAGAGGAGGGTGGGGTGAGGTAAGTGAAAAGCCCGCCAGCGATCGCCACACACGTATGGTATGTATGTATGTATTTTGTTTTTGTACGCGCTTTCAGCGTTTCGAGTGCAAAAACTAACCTTCTTCTTCTTCACTACTGTCGGAGACGGCCGCCTTTAGTTTCTTGAGCTTCTTGCGCTCGTTCACGTCCAATTCTTCCTCCTCCTGCGAGAAAAAGCAAGAAAAGCCATTGTTGAAAAAAACAATATATAGATATATGTATATGTTTGTAAATGCATGTGTGTACACACACGCAAGGCGCAACGCACACCGCACGCATACAGATGCACGGAAGGTACGCGCGGCTAGAAACCATGTTTTTGGGCTTCGCAGACACTTACCTCTGATTCCTCGGCCTCCGAGTCCAGAAATTCGGCCATAATTTAATGGAATAAAACTTAACTTAATAATTTAGTGCGTATTTATGCAGAGAAACGCCGCGTTTGTGTGCGTTCCTGCCTCTTCTCTTCTTTTTTATTTTTGCTCTGCTTCTGTATTGGTTCTCCCATTGGCATAAAAATACTAGTAAATACCCTTGCAAATATGTATGCTGTTTGGCCACACTCTTCTGCTGTTTACATTACAGTTTGCTGTTAGCTTGCAGCAGTATTATCGCTGCCAGCCCTGGCTTAAATTGCAACACAACAGTAGATACTTCCTATGACATATATTTGGTTCACATTTGTTGTCAAAAATTGGCAAATAATGTAACGAACATGGTATTACAAAATGGTTATAATCAATCATTGGTTATTAGCGAAAACACATACACTCAACTAATAGTAAAAGTAATGAATAAATTATGTTTTTATATTAATAAACGTTAAGCTATCAATTAAATTCACAATATAATGAATTAAATGCTCATTGGAAGTTCATATATAATTAGTATTTTGTCCAGATTTTAAAGCGTCAATTTTTTTTTCCTTCCTTGGTTTTTCGCATACGGGCAGACTGGTCGTGCTGCCGTTACATTTACCGCTCAGCCGAATCTGGGCACACTGCATTGTTGTTGCTCGACGAAGAAATACTATTAGTATATTATTTTTCGTTCATCCTGTAAGTTTAAGTGGACGAGACGAGCGGCGACCTACTCGACCCCAACCCGAAATTCAGAAGTGTATTGCTTTGGCCGAGAACAGTTTGTCAGGGAACTTCACTTTATAAACGCTCCGAAGCGACAAAAGTAGCATTTCTCAATACGAATTAAAATCGAAATCCTACGCCAAATTCATATTCAAATAGAAATTGAAATAGAAAACCCATAAGCCGAAGTTAACGAGACGAGCCAACAACAATTCGATTCGGCGGTTTTTTGTTTTTTGCCAGTGTGTGTTTGTGTTACGCTGTGAGTGTGCATTACGTGCATTAGTGTGTGTGGCGGCCGGTGCTCCTGTTGTTGTTCTTGCTGCTGTCGTTGTCGCCTATTGTTGTTCTTGCTGTTGTTGTTGTTGCTCGCAAGGCACAAAAACAGAAGCACACACGGAAACACACAACACGCAGGTCGCTCACACAAGCATATATGTGACAACAAACGCCAGCGAAAAAACAGAAATCTGAGAGCAAAGGAAATAAAAAACAATTGAGAAATTCAAGCAGCTGAAGCAGCAACATGAACATAGTCAATCAGATCAGCAATGCATTCTGGAGTACGCACATCTGGCTGCCACCGAACACAACCTGGGCGGACATTGCGCCCGGCTCGCGACCAGATGTGGTACACGCCAATTACAAGGACCTCATCTGGCCCATTCCATTCGCCGCTGTCGTCATGCTGGCTCGCTACACGCTGGAGCGGTAAGTTTCCCATTTTCACACTCTTTCCATTTCCCAATGCTATCTTCCCGACTCCCTTTCCATTCTTGCCATTCCCGGCAACTTGATTCCATTCCGCCTCTCTTTAACCCCATTCAACCGCTCCCGCTCTCTCTCTCTCTCTTTCTCTCTCTCCTTTCCATTCAGTAAGCCCACCGCCCACGTTTGTTGCACCATGTACAGTAAACTTTATTCATAATCCCTTCTTTTCTTCATTTCATTTAATTTCATTTTTTTTTTCGACAAACATAACCTCACGTGGAAACGCCCAACATTCTGCAAGCGTACGAATGTGTGTGCGTGTGTGTGTGTGAAACAGCGCTTGTTTTTTTGTTTGTGTGCGGTTTGTGCGGAACACACGCGTTTTGGCTTGATAGCTGCAACTCAAGTTTCCCTTTCCAAGCGACACCGGCTGCAGTTTCCAGCCAGCCGGCAACGAATTTCCCACAAAATATTAGACCCACTCCACTTTCAACTTCCTACTAATTGTTTAGTCAAAGGGAAAACATACATATATTTGTTTATAGTCGGCACCATCAGCTCCATGCGGTTTTTTTTTTTATGGATGTATGCACCGCTAACAAAAGGGGAACAAATCAGGCACAGTGGGGCAAATAGTTAATCAATCGGCCAGTGCTGGGAACTATATTTGTTTTATTTATCATTTAAAAGGTGTTTTCTGGAACACGCCAAAAGGCTAAGTTCTATAACTCTCATAAATAAACTACCTCGGTGGAAATCCAAAACTGATATTTGTTGACTTGTCAATCTGCAGCGATAAGAAAGCCATGTTTATTCAAACTTGATCGACTTCAAGGAAAACCCCGCTCCATTTGTATGAACGCATAGTGCGATAACTGAGACCCATTATTTACTTCCACTTGCAAATATTCATAAAAGTTGCTATTCTTTAACTTAATAATACCCAATCTCGCAGTTAAAATTTGCTTACTGGAAAATATATGTATAAATGCCGCATTTCCATGGCTGTTGACCCACTGTGGGCTGGGCCAAGAGCATTTTGGCCGCTTTTCAGGCCAATTAACCGGCGCGTCGTTTGGCTTCAACTATGTGGCTGTGAATATGCGAACGAGCAGCAGTTCGCGTGCACTGGCATTTGCATGTGGAGAAGTTGTTATTCTCATATTTTGCAATGTTTTCGGTGCCCTTAATTTGACAAATAATTTGCGAGCGGCGAGTTCAGCAAGTCCAGCGAGTCCAACGGACTGGAGTCCAAATTCTGAACATCTGCCTTGCAGGACAGTGTTGTCAGAAGTCCAAAGAATACACTACACACTTGATAGTGCAGATTCGCCTCGCTAATTTCGCCAGTTACTTGGCCAAAATAATACAAAAAAAATCCCAAATATTTTAACTTATAGAATTCCGACTGTGACTCTTGTTTTCATTCCATTTTCAGCTCTTTTTCTGCGGCTTGTTTGCATTCACGTTTGAAACTAAAAATTGAGACAAAAACCAAATCTGTTTCATGGCGGACCACTTTTTTTTTTTTTTTTTGTGCTTCATATTTCTGCTTCTGCTTCTTAAACGAGAATTGGTCTTCAAGGTCGAATTGGGGTTTTTCTGCTCTTCCATTAAGATTCATTTAATGGCAAAAGTCGCAGACGAATCGATTGGAGGTGCTCTAGTGCCAATCCCGAAGTGCCATCCCAGCCGTGGTGGGCATAGTGGAGCCACCTTGGACAACAGCACTAGCACCACCGCGCCACTCCGCGCCGATAAGATTTGCGCCAAGATTTACGTATAAAACTTGATAACAGTGCTCAGTACCTCGATTGTTTTACGGCGAACTCTCGAATGACTGTGGGTGTGTGTGTGTTTGTGTGGGTACGGCAGGGGCGTGGTCGACGGGGGGCAGGTGTGTCACTAACATTTATTTGGGTCAAAAGAGTGCAAAAGGGCTTAAGTGTTAACCATTGTCACTGCTTTCATTGACTAACTGCCCATTTCACAAGCTTAAAACGCGAATTCTTTATGTTTTCGCATTTGTACATATGTATGTACGTGCCCTGGGCCAAACAAGCAAGGCGAGTATTTGGACAAATTGCTCATTGGGGATTAAGCATAGCTCTGCTATGTGTTTACTTAAAATAAAGATAAGTTACTAACTTATAGTCACTCCGCCCCCATCGGGTTCTTTTTATATACTATCTTGGTCCGTGATTCGTCAACCGTTTTCCCTTTGCGGGCCTGGCCAAAAGCACTTGGCCCCGACAATGAGTCATTGACTCGAGAAGTTTTTCCAAATATGTGCGCACTTTATGGCCCGATTGGCGCTTCCCTTATGGCCACCATCCTATGCCATACTATACGCCACTATTATGCCACACACAAAAGCACGCTTTGGAATGTGTTGTGCACTGGATTGGGGTTTATGCGTATTATGTTTATGTTTATGCTGCTGGGGTGGAGGGAAGAAGAAGTAAGAGACACTTGCTATAACAATTCAAACAGCTGGGCCCAAGTGAATAGAGCTCGTCCACTTGTCCGTCATTTAATTGTTTAACTTGAATATACCTGGTCAAAGAGGAAGTATGTTTCGTTCTTATTCAAATTCAGATAAGATAGTTTTATCTCTTGGTGATAAGTTGTAACCACTAATGCCATCTACTTTCTATCGACTAATATTTCTAGTGGTATTATAATCTTTTATGAAAGTATTTTGCAAATCCATAAAGCTTATCACCGTAGAAATCCCACCTGGTTGTTCCGAACCCTGTCAGTTCGAGCACGTAGATAGAGCTCAAGTGGGTTTTATGAGTGCTAATTTTCTGGACGCAGCTGTGTGTGGGGCATGTACTATTTGTCCGCATTTATGCTGAAGCTTTTGTGATACGTAATCGCCAAGAGGCGACCCTCGAGCTCAGCGCTCTAGTGCGATAAAATTTCAGGTTAATTATTTTAATGGCTCACATGCACACAGCAATCGGGGAAATGTGTATGCATGCATACGAACATACATATGTATATTCAAATATACACACTAAATCGCCGGCCATTGGGCAATTTCCATCTGCTCCACCATTTCTCCGTCTTCTCTTCTATTTCCACCTCTAACTAACTTTGGATTGGCAATAGTGTTTCCAGGAACAACGAGCCCAGAAACCTATCCCTAAACCCGTTTCCGAATGTTTTCCACACTTTGCCTCGCTCAGCCGAATGGCTTATCGTGCCGATTGCCCAATGGTTAGTAAAAAATAAAAAAACCAAATGCCATAAAACCGAAAAAGAATAGAATGGAAAAAACGCACGTGCTTCACGCACCAGCTGAGTATGGGAATGGGTCAGGTGGTACTCCACTTCAGGGGAGAGCGGACTTGCTGCCGGTGCAATTCGTTTAATGTCCAATTAGCACCTCTTATTCTTCTCCTGAAAAGAGTATGAACTAGTTTTTATGAAATGCTCACCCACTATATAGCTAAAACTAGTATTGCTATATACTTTGTCAGGATCCTAAAAACATATCTGCGAAATTATATTGCAAATTTTATCTTATTTAGGAATTTATATTGAAATTTCATTCATGAGCAGTTACGAATATTTCCAGTCAAAGATTATGAACTTGGTTACCGATAAGCGTGGTGTAATGCCAAAAAATATTAGTATTTAATTTACAAGTCGCAGATTGTCGAATTGGTCATAAAGCAAATAGAAACAGTGCATGTTTTAGAGATTAAAATCGGCGATATACCTTCGAGCAGGGCGGTCAACCAGTCGCTGACTAATGGCGCCTATGCTAAATTCAAAGTTCCATCTGACAATCGACGGCAATGAGTCAGACGTTGTCGTCCAAACCCAAATCCAGTGTCGGTTCACATATATGTAGGATATAGCATAGCTATAGCTGCACTTGCGCTAATCTCACAATCGTCGACTTGCCTTGCGTGTTGAATTATCGCTGACAAGCGCAAATAATTCGCCAAACAACAGGCGACATATATGCAATATAGTATATTTATATATAAATATATTCTGTATGGCTTGACCGCCAGTGGGTTCCGAAATTTTAGTTGTGCCGTTGTTGTGATAAGAGCTAAATAATTGCCAGTGCATTGCACTTTGGGCGAATTTGTGCACATTGCCTAAGTGAAATTTAATAAATGCGTTTAAATAATGGTGGGGCTCTTATCGCAAACTGTCATCGCGTTGCTGCTCAATCAAAACACACTCATTATTCGCACGAAACCCAACGAATTCGAGGAAGGTGCAGCTCTCGAATGGTCCAAAGTTTCCAATGAAATTGCTAGAAATTATGGCTTAGAAATGTTTCTTGCTTGGGTTCAAAAGTAACATGTGTGTACATAATTCTTGTCGCTTTATTACTACTTCATGAATTGCTTAAATGTGGCTACCACTTACAGTGCGAAAATAGTAAATAGTAAATTTAACTTGCATATTCTAGGGCACTTTTTGGTTAATTTCATGAAATAATTGGTACAATAACTAATGGTGCTCCATGATATAACTTTATTTGCATAACCATAACATTAATCCCTGAACTGCGGCAGCAGCCAACGTTGCTGGGTCTTGGAGTCCTTTGAGTCCGCTTCCTCGTTCAGCACCACGAAAAGCTCGTGGTCCATCTGCAGTTGGGTGGCCAGAAACTCGAGGAACTCATGCTCGGTGCCCAAGCACTTTGGCTCCCGCAGCTTAGAGTCCAGGTTGTAGTAGCTGCCGTTCAAGCGACGCAGTGCCAGCCAGTGGCGCATCTGGAAGGGCAGTGGGATGTAGTAGCCCAGGCTCATCTGGGCCGGCACATTAAGAATGAAGCCGAAAATGGCGCTCAGATTGAGGCAGTGTGGATCCCGGCGGCGGTCGAACCATACCGCCTCACATTTCCGCTGCTGCAGGGCGTACATGATCACATTCACGTCGTAGTTGCCCCAACCGATCCACGATCGATGCGGATTCAGCCAGTTGCGCGGGGTCAGTGTGGTGCAGTAGTCGTCCATCTCCGTTTTGGAGAACGAGTCGGGGCCCTGGAACAGGTTGTTCAGGGCGTGGAGGCCGCAAAGGTGGCGTGTCTGCCGCTCATGGTAGATTCCATGCGGCATCATTGTGGTGTTCCCGTTCCCATTTCCATTCCCATTCGCGTTGCCACAGTCATCCCCCAGAGTATTCCCACTGGGAGATTCCATTTCGGAGCGGAGCAGTGTGGGGTGACAGTATCCAGTGGGTGAAATAGCTCCAAACGGACGGGGAGCACGAAATGGTCACTAGATGAAGTGGCTTTTTGTTGTTTACAAGTTCGAGGATAGTAGTTTATAGCGATGATACAGCAATAGCGATGGCACAACGTATGGATATCGATATGCTTGCGAAAATTTTTGCTATGCACCTGTGTGCATATCGATATTTGGCAACGGTCTTATTTTTTCTAACTATGCTAAAAGTTTTTCAACTTATCGAGTTGTAATTAAGTGGTTAAATGTACCAGAAAGTAAAAAGATATTTCCATATCATTTATATATATATTTCCATAAGCATCCCACTTTCCCTTAAGAATTTATACCTACCAAGATATTTTTAGTTTTTAACTAGAGAACTACCCAAAAAAAGTATTTAATAAATATTTCATTAGAATTGTTATGGATTTAAATGACCTTTATCACTTATAACAAAACTTGCAGTGTGCGTCATTAATGACGCACTCCCAACGTATTTTCGGTATCGAATAGTCCAATTTATTTTTACACACCCCCCGACACGTAATTTATATTTCAATAGCCTACAATTACAGGGTTTACTCCCTATAAGTATAACTTGTCTACGAACCAGGGGAAGATAAATCAATATTCCACTTCCAATGCGGGTCAATTAAATCCTTCTTGGTGCGTTAATTCAATTGCGCACCACTTGAACTTGAACTGAGCCCAGATTTGGCATTAATTCAAATTAATTATTATATGTAGAAAATAATAGAAAAAAAATGATATTTCCGCGTTTTTTCTTGGACTGCGTGCCCTGTGCTTTGACTACGAAATGAGGGATACTTTGGAAACCACTTGGAATTCCAATCCAAGCCATGCGATCTGCAAATCTCGTGGGCACGGCAGTCAGTCGGCCATTTTCGATTTCATTGGCAAATTAACTTCCGAAACGAGATATACTCTATGCTCGCAAGTCTGGCGTGGTGTCCAGCTTTGGGCGAGCTAATTACCTATGCATGTGGGCGTGCGGACAGCCTAAAAACCCATTCCAAAATCCCCATCCCCATCCCAAATCCCAGTTGCCATGCCTTGCACGTGCCAGACATTGGGGCGACGACAGGTGTGTGTGTGGTTGGGTGTGCAAAATAAATATAAATAAATAAAATAAATTAAAATCATAAACAAAAACTGAAAATCCAGAAACGTTTCCGCCATGTGTGTGTACGTACGTGCATAATTAGAGATGTTGTCAAGCCCAATGGAACTTTATTGGATATGTTGTCAGGTCTGAAAGTTAGCAATTCCATTGCCAAGATTACGATAGTTCCTGAATTCCATTCTTATGCAATATTGACAAGTTCATAGAAAACCCAACATTATCTGGCCACAGTTTATATATCTACCATAAACTTTAAAACCATGCCTCCTATAACTGCTTTATGTACTCGTAAAGCATTTTTAAAAATAGCTCTTTCTAATCGAAATCTCTCGATATTACTTGCAGTTTCTGGATATCGCCCGTAGGCAAATCACTGGGCATACGTAGTTCTAGACCTAAGAAAGCGGCAAATGTTCCTATTTTGGAGGCGGCCTATGCCAAATCGACTCGATTGAACCAAAAATGGGTGAGTTAATGCACTATATATGCCTACCATCTAACTCTAAAGATGACTGAACATGGCACTTCTGATTCCCTTTCAGCTGGCTCCGCTGTCCAAGCAGACGGATATGAGCAAGCGCCAAATCGACCGCTGGTGGCGTCTACGAAGGGCCCAGGATAAGCCGTCGACACTGGTTAAGTTCTGCGAGAACACCTGGCGCTGCATCTACTATCTGTACAGCTTCATCTTTGGCGTGATCGTGCTATGGGACAAGCCGTGGTTCTGGGATGTGAAGAGCTGCTGGTACGGCTACCCGCATCAGGTGAGGATTTCGACTGATTACTCTTGAAAGCAGCAGCGTCTTACTTGCTACTATACATATTCCATCGCTTGCAGTCGATCAGCAATGATATCTGGTGGTACTACATGATTTCGATGTCATTCTACTGGTCACTCACTGGCACCCAGTTCTTCGATGTGAAACGCAAGGACTTCTGGCAGATGTTCATCCATCACATGGTCACCCTGCTGCTGATGTCACTCAGCTGGGTGTGCAATTTGCATCGCATCGGTTCGCTCGTCCTGGTCGTTCACGATTGTGCGGACATCTTTTTGGAGGCCGCCAAGCTCACCAAATATGCCAAGTATCAGAAGCTGTGCGATGCGATCTTTGCCATCTTCACAGTGGTCTGGATTGTGACCCGTCTGGGCTTCTATCCACGCATCATTTACAGGTGAGTTGTGCCCAGCGCCAAACCCTCTCTTCGTTTATCTGAACCCAATCCAACTGACATGCTCTTCCATGCCAACCATCCTGTTAACCCGGCAGCTCATCTGTGGAAGCACCGCGCATTCTGCCCATGTTCCCAGCCTACTACATCTTCAACTCATTGCTTCTGATGCTGCTCGTCCTACACGTGATCTGGACATACATGATCCTCAAGATCGTTGTCGACTCTCTGCAGAAGGGTCTGGTAAGTGTGGAGGCATTTGGCCATCAAGCTCTTATCCTCTTAACTGTGCTGTTTATCTCCGTAACCTACCAATTATCTTAAACTGATAAGTCGCTACAAATTCTTTAAGAAGTTTAATGTGCCTATGTAGATTACAAACAGAACTTGATTGTATTTTGGAAACACTCATCCATTTCATTTCCTTTCAGATGTCCGGTGACATACGTTCCAGTGATAGTGAGGATCTCACAGACAGTTCGGAGAATGCACGTCTGGCCAATGGCTCGGCGCGCACCAAGAACAAGCCTTCGGTTGCAAAATCTGACGGAGGAGCAGGAGCAGGTGCTGGCGCTGTTACCCAGCGCAAGACCAACAATGCCAACAACCACACGACCGAGGCGGCAGGAGGAGGCGCGACAACGGCAGCCAAGTTGGATGGGATGCAGGTGACTGGTAGCGAATCCAGCGAGGAGTAGCCGGTGGACACCTTCAGCTGAGACACCAATACCACTGCTAGTGGGCACACTTCCCGAGGAGCAGGCGCAACAACAACAGCAAACAAACAAAATCCACTTACACCCCAAACACACACCACACCCCCAAGCACACACCCCCAAGCACACACACACACACCCACGCATGCACGCACACACACACACCCACGCATGCACACACACACACACAAAAACAAACATACATACAAAAAACCAAACCAGTTCAGAACGTTTTTATGTTAATTATTATTTTTTTATATATAAATCTTTTTTAAGGTTAACAAAAAGGAAACAAAACAAAAACCAAACAAAATTTCAATAAATGCGAAAAAATTGATGTGTAACGATCCACTTGTACATCGTTATTGATTAAAAATACTATTACTATATGCCTCACCGTTTTTTTTTTGTTGTTGTTTTTCTTGCTTAACCAAAAAAGAAAAGAAGAAAATAACGTTAAATATAACCATTTAAACGTAAAGCTAAAGATAAGTTATTTTACCAAACGAAATGGAAGATAGCACAGTGAGACTAAACCAAAATCGCTTAGGCAAGAATTCAATAAACGAAGAGTAAAGCAAAATTGAATAGTAGTCAAAACTATTGTAAATACTGTACTTGTATGTTTCCCATATTAATAAATTTATGCAAAACAAATTACAAGACCCAACCAAAGTGTTTCGAAAAAAAGCGGGACGGCACTATGTGGGAATTGATTAAAAACCCACATGATTTCATTTTAGTAAACATTAAACGGTTGAATAAAAAATAATCCCCTGTTTATTTTGTCTCGCCACAATTTGTATGAACTACAAGCTAGTTTCTATACATCGCTTCGAAATAGAAATGCTTAGTAAAATAACAAAAGACGCCAACTTATAATCGCTTTCTCAATAAGTCCTATTAAAATTGAAGTATTCATGTACAATATAGACTTAGAATTGATAGGATGAACATTTTGCGAAATCTGTTTATATTTATTGAGACAAAATAGTTCCGTAAAAAGATGACCAACATCAATTTATACCGAAGCAATTCATTAATTTCAAATCCTATTCAAATTAATTTAATTTCGTCGTGTAAGAATGGGACTACTATTGTGACTACTAAATGGATATAAAATGGTGATTTAAATGCAAATAAGGACGTAGAGTAGAAGTCTTAATATATCCCAGAGCATCCTTCATTAATAAATCCTATTAAAGTTTATTTCGTCTCGTCCAAATTGGTATACACTACACGCTAGACTTAGTACTGGTAGCCATCGGGTTGATAGGGCCGTGCGAAGGGCGTGGGAGGAAATGGCACGGGCGGCGGACGCCAGTTGGTGGGCGGCGGTCTAGGAGGTGGTGCTGGCATGCCGGGCGGTGCCCAGGCATTTGGCTGCATCATGCGAGGCGGCGGCGGAATGCCCATTGCTGGCGGCAGAGGCGGCTGTCCGCCGGCCATTGGTGGAAGCGGTGGCGGCGGTATCGTGGCTGGGAACGGAGTAGGCTGGGGAACGGGAGGAGGCGGTGCTATCATGCCCATGTTGTTATTCGAAACGGGCACCACCGGCGGCGGTGGCGCCATCATTGGTGGCGGCATCATCTGGCCCGGCATCTGGGGCATCATATTCTGCACCGGTGCATCGGCGAACAATTGATGCGGCCGGTCCGCATGGGCCGATGGATTCTGGGCGGCCAGCAGGCGCTCCGCAGCCGAGCCGTGACGCTCGCCCTTGTGGTCCTTCTTGAAGGCATAGGACACGGAAATGGGACGGTTGCACAGGTACTGGCCGTTCATGGCGTCCATTGCCGCATCGCTGGCCTCGAAGCTGGCAAAGTTGATGAAGGCGAAGCTCTTTGACTTGCCCGTCTCCGGATCTCGCATGATCTTCGGCGTCTGCAGGATAACGCCGAAGGCAGAGAACGTATCGTACAACAGCTTCTCGTCCACCTCCACGTCCAGGTTGCCAATAAAGATGTTGGCGCCGACGTCCAGGTTCTTCTGATGCGCCGACGCCTTGTTCACGCGAATGGGCTTGCCATACAGCTTGATCATGTTCATGATCTTTATTGCATAGTCGGCGTCCTCTTCGCTGAGGAACTCCACAAATCCGTAGCCCTGGTGCATTTGAGTGACCCGATCCTTGGGCATGTGTACGTTCACTGCAAGCATGGCGATTAGGGAGCTGGTGGAGATTATACATGTGTGACTCGACTTACCCACTGGTCCTGCTTGCACAAACAGCTCCCAGAGCAGCGTTTCTGATACCTTGTCGTCCAGACCGCCGGCATAGATGGTGGCATCTGTGGAAGGGAACAGAAGAAGCCGGGTTAAGCGTCTCTCAACTGGGGCAAATGTTCAGTCGAGATCAAACTCACCTTGGTTGCGTTCAGCAATTGGACCGGCCGCCATTTCGGAGCTTTTTTATAAATTAAACCAAAAACTAATTTTCGGCGTTTTTAACATGCAAAAATGCTCACAACACAACCCTGAATATCGAAGCAGCCTATCGATACCACAAATCGATATAAGTCCCGAGTCCGGACAAATGTTTATTTCTATATCGATAGTTTCAACATCGATAGAATAATAAATGGAAATTTATACAAAAGGCACCAATTATTTGGTTTGAAAATTAAATAAATAAAAAGAAGAGTAGGCGATGTGAGAATTTAGTACAGCGAATCATTTAAAACATTACGTTTTTGAAAATAAAATTAAAAACATTTTCCTAAGGTAAGTGGTAATTTAATTTTAATAATCTAATCTAGAATCTAATGATAAGCAATTTTTCGGTTAATTGAAGCTATCGTATTTAAGTAATGTGGTATTATTCAACCGATATTTCACCTCCCATGCCGTGCCATCGCTAATATCGATAGTTCGATCGGCCGCACTGACCAAGAACCCAACTCTAATTTTTATGTAATGTCACTTTGTTGTCGTTTGTTACAAGAAGCAAGGAAAATTCGTGCTAGAAACCAAAGAACCAAGTCCCCAATATCCGTGCGCTGTGATGTGATAATCAACTTTGTGTAAATTATGAATTGTCATCAGATTTTGAGCGGCGCCTGCAATGCGGGCGACCGGTGCTTCGCCATTGGCTCCGTGGAAGGAATACCATTTACAGTAAGCGCAGAGCCATCCCAATCCGAATCCGAATCGAATTTGGTGAAAATCGGTGGCGGAATGAGCACCAATAGTCGCCCAACCAGCCGGACACGCCCCCCTCTTCGTTCGATTAGCCTGAACCCATTTTTCAGCACAATCCCAATACGTTTCCAATTGGAAACGAGGCATCATCATCATCATTGTCGCCGTCGTCGTCATTCCAACCAGAACCGATCGCAGCACGTCTTTAATGTTTTTATTTACATATTTGCGTGTGTGTGGTGTGCCTGTGTGTGTGTGCGAATGTGTGTTGGAATTTTATATCGTTTTTTATGCCACACTTGGTGGTCAATTAAAAAATCAAATGCAAATGATGAGATAGAGAACTTTTCGTGTTTGCTGGCGCTGTGCAAAAATTCGATAACAACAAAGTGTGCAGCTCGTGTGTGTGGCACAACAAATACAACACAATGTTTGTTTTCACCTGCATTTACATACCTGGCCAGTAATTAATTACATTTTTATTTTTTTAAGGTCAAGTGCTGGCAGTAAACAAGCCGCACGCACACATGCGCCAGTTGCAGTGAGAGTGTGTGCTTGAAAGTATATACATATGCACATATATATAGAAGTGTGACTCTGTGTGTGTGTGCCCTTCTATTGGTCAGGTGGCCTTTGATGCCCTAATTTCGCAGCTTGCAGGCTGCCCCCCTCCACACTCCCACACACCCTTTCTCCTTGCCAGCACCCCCACTCAACCCCTTTCGACGAGCCGTGTCGTCAATGGCAAATTGGAATTATAAACTGCCATAATAAAAAACGTGAGCACTCATTTATAATGTGCCTAATTCGATCTCAATACTATATAGTAGTACCACATACTCAAAGCAATCTGGTAATTTTTGTATATTAACCCTTTGGCGTTAGCCGGAAAAAGTTGGAAAGCCCATTATAAACTTCGTTCTGTCAACTTCGAGTTATAAACATTACACATATAAATAGAGACATGTGTACTGTATGTTTACCCAGAATGTTTATCCGATGCAGAGAACAAGGTCTGTGTTTTCCTGCAAAACCCAAGGAAGCATAATTAACTATTGTGCACATTTCGCCATTCTAATGAGAGGCCCCACGGGGCGTATGTGTACATTCTATATTATATATTCTACTATATTCTATTCTGTAATCAGCACCGCCGTTGACACAGTCCCCCGTTCACAGACCACCCAACGTCCAACACCGACCCACAGCCCACCGCCTTGCGCCATATCATTTGCCATCATTTCAATTTGTTTAATTTCGAGTGTTTGCATATGTATATATTTATTTAGTATACGGTCGGCACGAACACAATCCCCTGGCGCCACCTAGCGGGTGGAAGAGGAAACCCAAAAATAATAAACCCAATAAAACCGTATTTAAAGTAGAATTTTAATAGTATAGCTATACAATAGCATCCCTTTCGATGATTTCCATTAAAAAATATCTACTTTTTCAGCAGGGAACAAACTTTTATATAAAGTAATCTTATCTGTGGAATAACTAAAGGGTTGGTAAGCGAAAAGCTTGGAAAACCCTCCATTGAAAAGTACCAGCGGTGCTTATTTAATGGGTAATAATCGCAGTTATACGCATAACGACATCTAGCAGACTTCAAGTTAAGTTGACATTTTGAAGCAATAGGAAAACAGGAAAACAAAAAGTTAAAAATAAAACCCGACAGCAAAGCAGAGTAGTTAAACCATTTAATGTCAAAAAGTTAGCAGGTGACTAGTTTGTAACGAAGTTGGTAATACCCTTGTTCTCATAAAATGATAGAGAATTCATTGAATAGCAAAATAAGATTTTCATTCCATTGCCGCTATTGCAAAAGCCAGTGCAGTAAGATTCTTTATTGATATTCCCCATTTATTGCTATTGTATCTACATAAGGTATCCGTAATCTCCCGCATCAATGAGCCAATTATAAAGATAAGGCGTGTTGACTCAACCCTTTACGCCCGCATTAATGCTTCTTTGCCACAGA